ATGGGTTAGCATGGTTAAACCACACTGGAATATAAGCCACACTGGGGTATAATCCACACTGGAGTATAAACCACACTAGAGTATAAGCCACACTGGAGTATAAGCCACACTGGAGTACAAGCCACACTGGGGTATAAGCCGCACTGGGGTATAAGCCGCACTGGAGTATAAGCCACACTGGAGTATAAGCCACACTGGAGTACAAGCCACACTGGGGTATAAGCCACACTGGGGTATAAGCCGCACTGGAGTATAAACCACACTGGAGTGTGAGCCACCCTGGAGTATACGCCACACTGGAGTACAAGCCACACTGGAGTATGAGCCACACTGGAGTATAAGTCACACTGGAGTATAAGCCACACCGAAGTATAAGCCACACTGAAGTATAAGCCACACTGGAGTACAAGCCACACTGGAGTATAAGCCACACTGGAGTATAAGCCACACTGGAGTACAAGCCACACTGGAGTATAAGCCACACTGGAGTATAAGCCACACTGGAGTGTAAGCCACAATGGAGTATAAGCCACACTGGAGTAAAAGCCACACTGGAGTATAAGCCACACTGGAGTATAAGCCACACTGGAGTATAAGCCACACTGGAGTATAAGCCACACTGGAGTATAAGCCACACTGGAGTACAAGCCACACTGGAGTATAAGCCACACTGGAGTATAACCCACACTGGAGTAAAAGCCACACTGGAGTATAAGCCACACGGAGTACAAGCCACACTGGAGTGTAAGCCACACTGGGGTATAAGCCGCACTGGGGTATAAGCCGCACTGGAGTATAAGCCACACTGGAGTATAAGCCACACTGGAGTATAAGCCACACTGGAGTACAAGCCACACTGGAGTATAAGCCACACTGGGGTATAAGCCGCACTGGAGTATAAGCCACACTGGAGTATAAGCCACACTGGAGTACAAGCCACACTGGAGTATAAGCCACACTGAAGTATAAGCCACACTGGAGTACAAGCCACACTGGAGTATAAGCCACACTGGAGTATAAGCCACACTGGAGTACAAGCCACACTGGAGTATAAGCCACACTGGAGTATAAGCCACACTGGAGTGTAAGCCACAATGGAGTATAAGCCACACTGGAGTAAAAGCCACACTGGAGTATAAGCCACACTGGAGTATAAGCCACACTGGAGTATAAGCCACACTGGAGTATAAGCCACACTGGAGTATAAGCAACACTGGAGTACAAGCCACACTGGAGTATAAGCCACACTGGAGTAGAAGCCACACTGGAGTAAAAGCCACACTGGAGTATAAGCCACACTGGAGTAAAAGCCACACTGGAGTATAAGCCACACTGGGGTATAAGCCACACTGGAGTACAAGCCACACTGGAGTATAAGCCACACTGGGGTATAAGCCACACTGGAGTACAAGCCACACTGGGGTATAAGCCGCACTGGAGTATAAGCCACACTGGAGTATAAGTCACACTGGAGTATAAGCCACACTGGAGTTTAAGCCACACTGGAGTATAAGCCACACTGGAGTATAAGCCACACTGGAGTACAAGCCACACTGGAGTATAAGCCACACTGGAGTATAAGCCACACTGGAGTGTAAGCCACACTGGGGTATAAGCCACACTGGAGTAAAAGCCACACTGGAGTATAAGCCACACTGGAGTACAAGCCACACAGGAGTATAAGCCACACTGGAGTATAAGCCACACTGGAGTGTAAGCCACACTGGGGTATAAGCCACACTGGAGTAAAAGCCACACTGGAGTATAAGCCACACTGGAGTATAAGCCACACTGGGGTATAAGCCGCACTGGAGTATAAGCCACACTGGAGTATAAGCCACACTGGAGTACAAGCCACACTGGAGTATAAGCCACACTGGGGTATAAGCCGCACTGGAGTATAAGCCACACTTGAGTGTAAGCCACCCTGGAGTATACGCCACACTGGAGTACAAGCCACACTGGAGTATAAGCCACACTGGAGTATAAGCCACACTGGAGTATAAGCCACACTGGAGTATAAGCCACACTGGAGTATAAGCCACACTGGAGTACAAGCCACACTGGAGTATAAGCCACACTGGAGTATAAGCCACACTGGAGTAAAAGCCACACTGGAGTATAAGCCACACTGGAGTATAAGCCACACTGGAGTATACGCCACACTGGAGTATAAGCCACACTGGAGTATAAGCCACACTGGAGTACAAGCCACACTGGAGTATAAGCCACACTGGAGTAGAAGCCACACTGGAGTAAAAGCCACACTGGAGTATAAGCCACACTGGAGTACAAGCCACACTGGAGTATAAGCCACACTGGGGTATAAGCCACACTGGAGTACAAGCCACACTGGAGTATAAGCCACACTGGAGTATAAGCCACACTGGAGTACAAGCCACACTGGGGTATAAGCCGCACTGGAGTATAAGCCACACTGGAGTATAAGTCACACTCGAGTATAAGCCACACTGGAGTTTAAGCCACACTGGAGTATAAGCCACACTGGAGTATAAGCCACACTGGAGTACAAGCCACACTGGAGTATAAGCCACACTGGAGTATAAGCCACACTGGAGTACAAGCCACACAGGAGTATAAGCCACACTGGAGTATAAGCCACACTGGAGTGTAAGCCACACTGGGGTATAAGCCACACTGGAGTAAAAGCCACACTGGAGTATAAGCCACACTGGAGTATAAGCCACACTGGGGTATAAGCCGCACTGGAGTATAAGCCACACTGGAGTATAAGCCACACTGGAGTACAAGCCACACTGGAGTATAAGCCACACTGGGGTATAAGCCGCACTGGAGTATAAGCCACACTTGAGTGTAAGCCACCCTGGAGTATACGCCACACTGGAGTACAAGCCACACTGGAGTATAAGCCACACTGGAGTATAAGCCACACTGGAGTATAAGCCACACTGGAGTATAAGCCACACTGGAGTATAAGCCACACTGGAGTACAAGCCACACTGGAGTATAAGCCACACTGGAGTATAAGCCACACTGGAGTATAAGCCACACTGGAGTAAAAGCCACACTGGAGTACAAGCCACACTGGAGTATAAGCCACACTGGAGTATAAGCCACACTGGAGTAAAAGCCACACTGGAGTATAAGCCGCATTGGAGTATAAGCCGCACTGGAGTATAAGCCACACTGGAGTACAAGCCACACTGGAGTATAAGCCACACTGGAGTATAAGCCACACTGGAGTAAAAGCCACACTGGAGTATAAGCCGCATTGGAGTATAAGCCGCACTGGAGTATAAGCCACACTGGAGTATAAGCCACCCTGGAGTATACGCCACACTGGAGTACAAGCCACACTGGAGTATAAGCCACACTGGAGTATAAGTCACACTGGAGTATAAGCCACACTGGAGTGTAAGCCACACTGGAGTATAAGCCACACTGGAGTATAAGCCACACTGGAGTATAAGCCACACTGGAGTACAAGCCACACTGGAGTATAAGCCACACTGGAGTATAAGCCACACTGGAGTACAAGCCACACTGGAGTATAAGCCACACTGGAGTATAAGCCACACTGGAGTGTAAGCCACACTGGAGTATAAGCCACACTGGAGTAAAAGCCACACTGGAGTATAAGCCACACTGGAGTATAAGCCACACTGGAGTATAAGCCACACTGGAGTATAAGCCACACTGGAGTATAAGCCACACTGGAGTATAAGCCACACTGGAGTACAAGCCACACTGGAGTATAAGCCACACTGGAGTATAAGCCACACTGGAGTAAAAGCCACACTGGAGTATAAGCCGCATTGGAGTATAAGCCACACTGGAGTATAAGCCACACTGGAATATAAGCTGCACTAGAGTGTAGGCAACACTGGAGTATAAGCCACACTGGAGTATAAGCCACACTGGAGTATAAGCCGCACTGGAGTATAAGCCGCACTGGAATAAAAAGCCCCATCTGAGCCATCTGAATCATTTGGCACCAAATAGAAACATCTTTCTCATTTACTACTGTTGATTTGACCATCGTAGTATAAGGCACACCGGCTTCTCTTTGGATGTATTACTGCTAGGTGTGTAAACCACTTTGCTACTTCTGAAGTATGTTTACATTCATTGAAAGATAAATATGCATCAAACCAGCAACATGGAGACGGTTTCGGTCAGAGATTCAGTAACGTTACCTCAAACAACGTCCTCTTACACTTGCATAAACTGAATCCACCACAACATGGCACGTATATTTCAAGTACAGTAAAACCTGTCAAGGTGGTCACTCGGATAAGGTGACCACCTGTCCTAGAAGACCACTGCAACCTGGACCAAATGATACTATTTCCAGTCAATTGACCCCGGATAAGGCGACCATCTGGTAATAGAAACCACATTTTGAAGGTCCCTTGAGTGGTCGTGTTAGATTGGTTTCACTGTATAAATGGGCTTCGAAGGCATACTCCTATACAAGTACTTAAATTCTACTTAAACTGATTAGGCATTTCTCCAAATGTCAACATGCAAGCCAAGCATACAGTAAGAACACAGCCACAGCACATTCAAGACTTGGTTGTAGCATTGATGTGTGTCCACTGTATTCCTTGCTCTGTTCTCCAGACATTCAGCACTCCACACAGTCTGAGTATGCATGTACACTAGGTAAACCCTAAAGCATATGTGCCAGAGGTACCATTTTGCAAATCATGCTAGTACTAGTATTCATTGCAAGCTTACATGTGAGACACACTTTTATACAAGAAAATAGTGTAAGAGTAGAATGTACCCTTGTTTTTTGAACTGTAAGAGCTAATGTACTCTTGCTTTACTTGTACTCTGTGCATGCAGTGTACATCACTTTCTGTTTTCATATCAGTGTTGTCTGATGATTGTACTGACCATGAATCACAGACTAGCAACAAACTGACCATGCTCCACTGTTGTATATGTACTGGGTACTACTCTCTGCCTGTAGGTATTTAGAAAGAAGAACAGGACAACAAGCTCTCCCTTACCATAACACGCCCATTGCCATCATCTGTGACTAGAACATTGCCGTAGGCATCTGTAGTGACATCATGCGGTTGGCACAGCTGCCCAAAAGCGCTGCCCTGAGACCCGAACGAAGTGATATACTCTCCATCGACGGTCATCACCTTTTGCAGGAATAAAAAAATTAAACATTCACACACACCACTGTGGTGACAGCAAGAGTATAGATATAACAGGAGTGTAAGAATAATACTCCAACACACAGTGCATAGCTACTATCATTATGACTAGTGATGATAAGGTTACTGGTGTGCAACTGTAAAAACTCAAAACCTGAGGTAAAACATGGACCTGGCACCAAAATTTGATTACTATGTATGTATTTATTGTAGCACAGACACTGTTTGGTTTGTGACATGATGTATAGACATGATGTTTAAGAGTCTAACTTCACATCAGCCTATACACTCTTCCACTGAAAAGGACAAGTAACAGGCGAACATGGCCAACATGCACTTGCATGACGTACACATTCATTTCTGATTGGATGAACATTTTCCTGCCCGACCCTGTCTAGTGTATATTCCGATAGATGGGTTGTCAATACCAGTAAAGTCTCATGCTCATACAAAGACCTGTCCCAAAAATATGAAGCTGAACTTGCTACTGCTTCCATTGCTGCTGCTGTTGCTGCTGCTGCTGCTGCTGTAGTAGTTTGAGTAGTAGAAGTAGTTGTTGGCGTTGTTGTTGTTGTTGTTGTTGTTGTTGTTGTTGTTGTTGTTGTTGTTGTTGTTGTTGTTGTTGTTGTTGTTGTTGTTGTTGTTGTTGTTGTTGTTGTTGTTGTTGTTGTTGTTGTTGTTGTTGTTGCTGCTGCTGCTGCTGCTGCTGCTGCTGCTGCTGCTGCTGCTGTTGTTGTTGTTGTTGTTGTTGTTGTTGTTGTTGTTGTTGTTGTTGTTGTTGTTGTTGTTGTTGTTGTTGTTGTTGTTGTTGTTATTGTTGTTGTTGTCGCTGTCGTCTCTGTCGTCATCATCAATGTTGCCGTCGTTGTCATTGTGGTTGTCGTCGTATTCGCCGTAATTGTTGACGTTTTTGCCAGATTTACATGAAAACATACCTGGATGCGATGGTTGTCCTCGTCTGCAATTAACAACCTGTTGTGGTACACTGTGATGCCGCTTGGGTATTGAAATTGGCCTTGACCACTACCTTCTGTTCCAAATGCATATTCTGTCTCACCACTGCATGGCACAACCTGTACAGTACCAGTGTACATAGAAGAATATACACCTGTGAGTTGTTGTCTGATGATCGATTAAAACCGTGAAACTCAGAGTTACAGCAGAAACGCTTTTGATTCCTCTCAAGTGTGTGTGTAAACCTGTGAGATATGTAATTCATTTGCACACAACTTACAACTAGATTTGGTGGCTGGGCTATGACAGAGCTTTATGAAGCTTTCTAAAACACAAACATGTAGTGATGTACCGGTATGCCAATGGAACCCACATGCATATTCATACATACACACGCTCACGTCCACAAACGCACATGCACACAAACACACATATACACACACCAATGCTTGCACATACACGCACACACTACACTACACACACACACACACACACACACACACTACCCACGCACACACACACATGCACAAACACACACACACACACACACACACACACACACACACGCGCACACACACATGCTCGCACATACACACAGTGCACACGCACAAACACACACACCCACACACACAATCGTGTACACACCCTCAAGCCCCCACACACAAACACAAGCCAAATGGACCCGCCCACCCACACTCAAACGGCTCCACCCACCCACGTCACACCAATGCTCCCAACCTGCATACCAATGCGCTTGTCCTTTTACATGCTCATTTCCAAAGCTTGAAGGGCAAGGGATACAAAGGCATCTTGAGATGATGGATTGGCTATCGATCCATCCAACGGCAGATAACTTATACTGAAATCGACTAACTCTGGATGGACTTCGGGGAAATTATTCCACTTATAGGCTCACCACACATGTGTGAGTGGTTTAGGACATGGTGCAGAAAAGGGGTTGACAGTACTTACCCCCCCCCCCCCTCCCCAGTGAACGTAATACTGTAATACATGTATAGTAGATGGCAACACACGCAGTCACAATCGGGCTTTAGAGTACCCACCAACAGAACTAGCTGACATACCCATCAAACATGCACTCCTCCTCCCCCCCCCCCCTCCCCCTCCCAACACACACACACACACACACATGCACGCTTGCCAATGCATAATAATGTAACAATCGACTTCCATCCTAAAATTATCAACTGGGATTGTACTGTGTTAAGAGTATATGATTGATCTGCTGTTACATGATTGAAAAAAGTCCCACAACTTGATGCTGAACAGTGATATAGGCTAGTTCTATCTTTATGTATAGCACAGTACACTGTTAGTGGGTAGGAGAGGGATTTTACACAATACAACTGTACATGTACAGTGTGTACTGTCTGGTTATTACCTGAACCCGATGGTTCCATGAGTCCGTCACAGCAAGGCACTGGCCCAGTGCGCTGTGGTTCACTTGGACAACACCAGTTGGGAAATCGAACTCGCCAATTCCTGATCCACGCCTTCCTATGGTGCTGAACTCGGAGAAGTCCTTGTCAGTGATCTGCAGAGGGGGCATGGAGATGGACAGGAGAAATCAAGATGATTTAGAAATGGAAAATAAATTCTTTGGACCAGTTTTCGAGGAGACAAAAGGTTAATTCACGCTATAAGCAGTGCTAGTGCCACAGGCATTACCATGGAAGTGAACATGTTTAGAGTTAAAACGGGTGTGTAATTCCAGAATCGATTCTCTGCTCCGGTCATCAGTGGAATTTACGTAAATAAGGGTAAGCGGCCAATAAACAAAGGTTAAGTAGTCACGTGGTGATACAACAGACACATAAGAGTTGCTGATGAATGTGATAAAACTAAGTAAAAAGGCTAGTAAACGAGGTGGTGATTATACATGACAAAGTGTAGAAAGAAACACTCGTGTAAGGCTACTTCAAAGTAGTATATTCGTACGTGTGTGTGTGTGTGTGGGGGGGGGGGGGTGTTCAGGTGTGTGTGTGGGGGGGGGGGGGTGTGCGTGTGTGTGTGCAGGGGTGGATCCAGGGGGGGGGGGGTTCGAACGAACCCACTAGTATTGCAGTTGTCCGAGCGCCATGAAGGCCTGAGAACGCACCTCACGACCCGCCGACGTCGACAGCCACAGCAGCCCCTGGGGCATGACACTGTACTGCTCGCCCGTCGCGCCAAGACGCTTGGCAGTCACTAGGCTTCATGCCACCGATGTTGTCCGCCAGCTACCTTGTTATCTGCCCATCACCCACTGCCGCTGAAACGCTGGGAAGCCCCGCAGCATTCGCCCAGTATATCGTCGTCAGAACCGTGTCGACGGTACAATAACGCTGGTTGAAACAAACAGTTGGTCGTATGGTATTGCGTCCTCCGGATTGTCCCTTGACTCGTCTTGTCCTCTTCTTGCTCTGACGCTAACGGCGCACGTATCATATTATTACAGGGTGCGACAGAGCTCTCGGTCATTAAAGAAAATGTTGAGTCACCTCCACCATTACACCGACGCTGCATGCATGTCCAATGCGCGTCAACAGTACTTCACACTTTCCTTTTCCCGCGTTATCACCTCAGCTATGCCAGTTTTGTATGCGGAAACCCCCTATATAATAGCAGTTTGGTCTATATTTTTTAATATCGTCTACGGAAAAATCCTCGCAATGGGGATGGTTGTGTGCAGGAGGGTCTAGTCGGCTAAAGAGCGCAGTGTAATGGTGGAGGTGGCTCAACATTTTATGTCATCAATGACTCATCATTTCGTCATTGTGGGTAGGGTGGGAAAAATTGAAACCCCTTGGAAAATCCTGGATCCGACCCTGGTGTGTGTGTGCGTGCGTGCGTGCGCGCATGCGTGTGTGTGTCCCCCCAGCACAAGCTGCTATGGCTTCTGCTGTAGCATCGCTATCATCGCCTCCGGCGATGGGCGTCAAATGGTCAATGGTCAATTGTGTGTGTATGTGTGTGTGTTTGTGTGTGTGTGTGTGTGTGTGTGTGTGTGAGTGTGCATGTGTGTTCAGGTGTGTGTTTTTTTGTGGGGGGGGGGGCTGTGCACGTTGCCGGATGTGTCTGTTTCTTTGGCCTTAAATATCAATGTCGATAAGATAAAAATTCCTTGTGGCTGATAGGAACATCACACTATCTGACATCGGCGACATTGTTGTTGTGAAAGGGAAGGCAACAGAGGATTTGCCCCTATTCCTCTCTACCTTGGTTCTGTTGCTACACCGGTTTATTCGCTAAAAGAGAATTGCGCCGGTGCAATGTTGAAGCACACAATACCTTTGTGAACTGTGATGTGTTTTTGTGCACAAAACCTGTCCCTGTGCACCAAATGACATCTAAACTTTTCCTGTATAGCCTCCATCCTAGTGTATAGTACTGAGTGCTGGACTCCGCTGAAAGCAGACCTTGAAACCAAGCATTTCAACATGTTTTTGGCCAGCATTGCCCTGAGGGGCTAGGTCACCTTGCCAGAATGCCACACCTCCCAGATTTCAAATCAACTCCTGTTTGGACAGCTGCCCAATACAATGTACCTGTTTGGATGTGCTCCAAGTAAAAAAAAAAAACAGGTGATGGGATGCAGCTGCTCATGACCTCAAACTGCGGCTAAGGACATCCCCATCTTCTGTCGGTCTGAGACGGCTGATGGCAGAATGAAGTGGTTTAAGACGGTCATGAATTGGGGTTCTCCGTACTGACTGACATCACCAACAATCACGACACCCTGCTTCATTGTTTCGTTCAGGATTCTTCTCCAAATTCTGCTATCTTGCTTGCCACACATGTCTGGAGGAGCAACACATTTCTATCTCCTTGCAATGTAGCTCAATCCTGTGACCTATACCTGTTATCTGCTCTATAAGCCTTTTATCGCCTCTGGTCATGAAATGTCACAAGTTTAGAGTGTGTGTTTGTATGTGCGTGTGTGTGTGTGTGTTTGTGTGCGTGCGTGCGTGCGTGCATGCGCGTATGTGTGTGTAGTTCTATGTGCACTTGAGTGGATTGTTGTATTTGCACACGTTTTTGAGTGTGTATTCTGTGGTTGGGTGGTTGAGCGTGTGTGACTGTATGTTAGTGTAAGTGTGTGTTTGGGTGTTAACATGTGTGGACCAATGTATGAAGAGGAGAGAGTGTGTGTGAAATAACAGTGATGCTGCACAACAAATACAGGTTTTGCTCGCAACATGAGCCATTAGTTAGTAAGTGCTCATCATTGCAGCAAGAAAACCATTTCAATAAAATTGTATTACAAAGAGGTATTTACTTCTGTATGGGTTATAATGTGGGTATCCATTGAAAACATAGTTTGTGTAAAATGTACATGTATGTGTAATTGTATGTTGTTGATTACTCAGGGGTCGTCTGTAAACACATGTATTTACTTAGAGAAGTCTAACAGGCGTTTGTGGTGGGTTCGCCAACAAGGCGTTTCTAAAAGATACATTTCAGAGATCTGAGTGCATGCATACCATACCGCGTGTGTTCATGTACATGATGTAGCACTGCTACAGCTAGTACAGGTAGGCGTTGAGATGCACTACACTGCACTACACGCATCACAGCAGAGTAGACAGGGACACATACACAGCCATACGCTGTACTCCCAGAAACATGCGCTTGCATGCAGTGACAGGCAGCTACCAGCAGACTTGTAGGTGTGAAACAGGATCCTTGGGCTTGGTTTCAGGTTCAGGTGCACATGTAGACCATGACAGTATGACTTAGGTGCACTTGCATTACATGTACATGTGACCCTACAAGATTTGGTTCGTTATAAACGAAAACGCTGCTGTAACTTCGCTATAAAGGGTCAAATTTTGTATGGTTTCAAACAGGGACAAGGACAAGGGTTAGCTATATCACGAAATTCGTTAATATGCGAGTTCGTTATAAGTGGAGTCGACTATACTGTATATGTGTTCATAGCATGGTGTTTATTATGAGTGGTATTATCTGCATTTGGGGGGGGGGGCCTTGCTGGGGGTGGGTGGGTTAAGAACGAAACGCCTATTAGACGTCTCTAAGTAGATACATGTACATGAATTTACGGACGCCCCCCCCCCCCTCCCCTACCGTGTGCCGGTTGTCTCTTTTGTGTCTCTGGGCCTTTTTGAAGTTTTTCTGAGCAGCTGGCTTTACTGCATTGTTGATCAATTTTGCACGTAAAAGAGGCTACTGTTTACATGTAATCCTTACAACATGATTGGAACACCAAGACCATACCTGTAGTCGGTGGTTGTTTTCATCAGCAATGATCACTCGTTCATCATCTGTTACATGCACAGCTGATGGGAAGTTGAACTCTCCACAGTTTGTACCCTCCCGACCAATCGTCTGCTTGAACTGGCCATCAACACCGTGTATCTAAGTGTATTGACAAAAAGGAATACAATTTACAAATGTTAACACAACCATGCACCCATACATAGCCCAGATCCAAACATACATGTAGTAAACATTTGGTTGCAGTTCTATAGTGTGAATCTAGCGAAAAGCTCGTCCAAAAATGTCAGTCACACGTACACACCCAATGCGCTGTCGGCCGGCCCATTCCACTTGCACATCACCACCACAGCTGGCACAATTTAGTTGAGATATTGACTTTTCAGACCCTCCAGATAGCTTTTTGGTCCAACATGGTGACAGAGCTCATCAGTGGAGGTTGTTGATAATGGTTGATCAAGATATAATGAGTGATTGATGTTGTATAGGGGAAAACTTTCACACCTTCACACTTTCTCTCTAGTGTGGCATGCCCTGGCAAAAAAAGGGGTTAGGTGATAACCGAAGGTTTAACAGATGTGACAATACAAGTGTGCACTGTTTGGATATTCAGCACTCGTATGTTTGAGTGGGTATTGGCTACTAGTAGCACCTCTCTTTGTTTGTTGATTTTGTACCAATTCTAGTACTGCAGACGACCTGAAAGCATGTCCCAGTAACGCACACTTGCACTATCTGTTATCACCTAAAGCCTCAGTGTCCTATGGCATGCCACACTTCGATGTAGAAAGCGCACATTTGCGACTGTTTTACCCTATTATAACATTATCTCTTCACCCGGATCATCCACTATCACCAACCAGCACTGATGAACTCTGTTGGAGCAAAGCAGCTGCCTTCAGGGTCTGAGATATCAATATCACAATGGAAATGTCCTCGTTGCGGTGGTGATGTGAAATTGGAATGGCTCGGCCAAGAAAACATTTAGGTGTGGGGATGTCATTGGCATTCTAAGTATTTTGTGATGTACAATGATCACCTTTCTCCAGTTTGATGGTTTAGAAAACTGATCTGCAAGAGAAATGACATTCTGCTTATATCAACTTCTCAGCTCTTGTGTTCACTGGGCTTACAAGTTAACTGGATGGTGCAATAACGTAAAATTTAGAATTTTGAAGAATTCATCCAAGGGATTGTCTACTACTGTTTCAGACAGTCTTGAGCATCTTCAACCTGACCAATTGGGATCCTTATTTTTCAATTCTACAAATGCACACACAGACCCTCCTGAGCAGGTCATCCATCAGAGTGACATCTACATATACACTGTAGTTGCCAGATAGCAATGTACTGTGAGTTCAGTTACCTTTATTCTGTGGTTATTGGCGTCACAGATGATCAGGTCACCAGCTTTGTTGGATGCTAGTCCCGAAGGGCAGTTAAACTGATCTCTCCCGCTGCCCTCACTACCAAATGAGTACCTTGATTTGCGGATCTGTGTGTAATCACGCTGCAATACAGGAGAGCAGTAAGAACAACACCAATCAACACTAGGACCATAGAGCAGTGTCTGCTCTAGGATTGTAGGACAGCCGGGTACACGTGTACCTGGCGCAACCATTTCAACCGGGTCGGAGCCGGGTACACATGTACCTGGCGCTGTCTCACCAGCCGAGTGACATGCTTTAACTGGTTGGTTTATTTTAATTCGGACAATAAACGGGAACTAGGCCCAATGATATAAAGGCGAATGGATAAGCCGCATTTAGAAAAGAGAGGTCACTCAGGACAGGAATTAGAAAAGTACGAAAGAAGAAGAAGTATCTGACACTTACAAGCCATGTAGTCAGTTCTTTCAAAGTTCGAAAGTGTAAAGTATCAACCGGGTCACAGGTGACCCGGTACTATATTTTCAACCGGGTCCAAGCGCCGCCCAACCGGGTGGATTACACGGCTCACCCGGCACTGGAGCAGACACTGTAGAGGGAGAAATTTGTGATGTCAAACCTGGCTGTGTGGTCATACACTTCATACTTCGATTTCCTAATTTTCATTGGCCTCATGTTTCGTATAAGGAGTAGATGATGGGATATACATCACCCTAAGGCGGGGAACACATTTTTGACCATGCAACCCTACGAAAATTGATAAGAATGGGCAGCGCTATCAATCCTCCGGAATGTCCATGACAAAGCAGTTTCAAGCGCTACAATGACCACAACTCAACATTGATGCAAACACAATGGAGTCGGCAGCAAAACGAACGAAGGAAAGGACTAAACTAATATCATTTGTAGCATAACTAGTCATAATTATATACTCATGGTTTTGCCCTGCATATTGAAACTCTGACTTGAACACACACCAGTGTTGTGTGTATGTAAACTATACTCAACTAATACATGATGACGTCATACACGTACCACTATACACCCAGTCATGCAGGGTAACAGACTGTAGGAGAAATTTAATACACCGTCGCATAAACTTGTACTTGTAAAAGTAAGCCTTTAAAAAGTAGACCAACCTTCTGTGGTGGAGATGTAGCTACTACTGATGCTGCTGATGATGATGCTGCGGATGGTGATGCTGACAATGTGTTTCTGGGCGAGGTAGACTGATCTGAGGCTGACCCTTGTCTGGGGACTCTCACCGGTGTTTGAGCTGAGGAAGCGCTGGATGACATCATCGGTGGTGTTGCAGAAGATGCACTGCGTGGTGATGGAGAGGACTGGGGAATGGAGTCACGGTTGTGTGAGGTAGTTGCCGTCAGACGTTGAGTACTGGCACTAGAAGACTGTCTGGAGGCACGTGACTCCAGGGCAGCAATGCGTAAGTCCACTGCAGCCGAGCGTGAATCCACTGCAGCAAAGCGTGAATCCACTGCAGCCAAGCGTGTATCCACGTCGTTGGAGTTGAGTGAAGCGAGAGTCGAGGAGTGGGCACTGAGGTTAGTGACGACGGTAGAAATTCTCTCCCTCAATGCATCCATGCCGTTCACTTTCTTTTCCACAGCAGTCACTCGGGTGATCATTGCCTGCTGTTGTGTGGAGATCGTTTGGAGTTGAGTCAGAATGTCTGCAAACTGGCTCAAATAGCGATCTGCGGACTAGAGAGACACGTAAAAAAATAACACCATCCACGCACACACACATACACACACGCACACACACACATGATTGTATTCACACACAAACACACACATGCATACGCATACACACACACACACACACACATACACACCCACACTATGGATTATTATGCTCTGCGTGCACCCAATTGAAGCATTTCTACCTATGGATCTTAGAAAACACAAAAATCCCGTGGTGTGTAGTACAACGAGACAATTTCACAAATCAGAAAGAGAGCATTCAATTATTTTGCAAGGAAGAATTCAAAATTGACGGAGTGGTGCAGAAATCTCTGTATATTGAGTAGTACTAACTGGTCATTGCTATTATGGATTTAGGAGTCTCGTCCGTAATTATCGAAAAATTAAAAAATCCGTCCTCATGCAAAATTGTCTCTAACCCACCCACCCCATCTTTTCCATTAATATTTTGATTTATCCCAATGCCCAGCTGTAAAAAAAGAACTCCTGACCCCAGGGTCACTGACTGCACCTGTGTCAGGTATATTGTACTAGTAGCTACTGTACTAGTTTGTTTTGTTTCTGGTTTTTGTTTGTTTTAGTTTTAGTAGGTCTACCAACGGCCATGCACGTCCTACAACTACATGTTCATCATACTGGTGTTTGCGACATTACGAGTACAGTCAGTACACTGCAAAGCCAGTGCAACAACTGTATGAAAGTCACTGAAGTAAAAAAAGGTTTATGAAAATTGGGTTCGGAAAAATCTAAAAATTAAATTCTGCCAGCACTCCTGACCACCCAACCCCTTTTGTATGAGGACGGGGTTTTTAATTTTTTTATCACGGACGACCCCTTATGGCTCTGATCCACTACTTTATGTTTTCATGTTACCATTCTGGATAAGGGACCTATGCAAATCTATAACACCCCCCCCCCCCCCCCAGTTGATTACATAATTTCACTGGGCTACACTATGCATACATGCACTGCAGATGCACTCTACTCCTACATCTATGTACACGTCACATGGCTGATGTCATGGGAACAGCCAGTCACCAGCCACCATGTGATTTTCAATACAATCATCTTGCACACGTCAGTGTTTTGCCTTGTTGAAGTGTAACAGTCCAGACAGGGTGCGCCGCCTCCACTGATATATCAGCACCCTTATCATGTGTAATATAATGACATGCTGCACAGCCAGCTAAGACTTAGGGGGCGTTCGAATTGTCTTCATTTAACTGTTCGAACAAATTTTAAAAAGAGATTAATTGAGTTGTCCCATTAGAACGGTTTCTTTCATTTTAGAGTTTTTCAGTCGAATTGTCTTGGCGATGATGACGTCCGATCAGATCGACCATCTCCACGTACTACGTGACGTGAACTCTTCGCAACTAATCTACCCCTCCCATCGGATGAGGTTGTGGAGTTTCGAGGAGTTCGTTTTTCTGAAGAGGCCAATAAGGCCCACCTCTTCAGAAAAACGAATCTCCTGGAAAAGTCAAAGAGTGACAATTCGAACGCGCTCTGAGAGTATGAGTGTGTACTTAGGCAAAGCCAGGTCTAATGTATGCTCTGTTAGCTGCACCATTCAGGCATGCATCAGCCAGTATTTCCCATTTACATGTACACATTGCATGTATACCCAGCTAGGCTGTATGCTAACAGTACAGCACAGTGAGTACAAAGTCATGTTATACTATGTGAATACATCCTTACCATAGAGGGAAGTGAGATCTGCAGTAAGTGCATGTGAACATCAGCTGATGTTGGTCTAGATCCAGGATCATCATGCAGACACGACACGATTAGAGAATGTAGTGGGTGATCCGAGCCCAGTCGATCCAGATCTGCTTTGCGTCGGCGACCCTCCGGAACTGATCTCCGCGTTCCATTCTCCAGCAGAACAGTAGCTTCGGTTGGGGAAGGCGGTCGTCCCACAAGCAGCGATAGCATCACCACTCCTAGAGAAAACACATCCAGTTTTTCGTCGTATGTTGTGCCCACTTGCAGGCTCTCTGGCGGCATATAATAAGGCGTACCGGGGCACCGTGTCAGAGTTGTCAAGTCTGCACCTTGACCACCGTGAAGAGAGCGGGCCAAACCTACATCAGCTATCTTGGCTCTCCCTGCCGTGATCAAGATGTTGTGGGGTTTCAAATCGCGATGCAAAATGTTCTTGCCGTGTAGAAAGCGCAAACCTTCCGCCGTGTCGACAAGATACTGAAGGCTTTGCGCGAATGGCTCTCTTGGAACAACTCCAATTTGATCACCAAGCGAACCGGCCATCAGTTCTACCACTATACACGGAGATTGATTGGGAGCAATGCCGATCCCGAGCAGTCGCACAATTCTTTCATGCTGCAGTCGCCGCATGACTAGGCACTCAGTGCCGAATCGCTGCAGAAGAGCTGCACGCCCGACATTGCCCTGTTGGAGTAAAATACTATGTAAGACCTTCACAGCAACAGGGAGACCCTCCAACTCACTTGTATACACAGTGGCATCCGAGCCACGGCCTATCTCGGGTTTGTTCAGGTCAACTTGGACGCATCCCAGCCAAATTGAGTCTGGGACACCAAGTATCTCTTGGAGCTGAGTCTCAAAGTTGAACCTTGCCATTGCATTATAATAGTGTAACACACAATCGTCTTGCTCTCGCAACTGTGTGTTTGATTGTGTCTGCGAGTGTTCAGCACCTTGTTATGGCGTTAGACGTAGACTACAGACTGAAGTTTAGTCCCGTTCCGCACTGGGGTATGCATTCCCGTTCTCACCTCCCTGTTTGCAGTCTACAAATACAATATCATGTACAGGTGCAGACATGAAGAGCTAGCTGTCTCTCGCCTCAACAGTTGGTGAACGTTTTGATCGCAATCGGCCACCGGTACCGCAAACGGCGCAGCCGCGTGCCGAAAACTCCCCGTTCGTAAGCATTTCGGAAAGCAATCCTCCAGTAGATCTACCCAGTGCAGTACCGCATAAAAATGAAGCTGTCATGGATCGTGGACAGCTACAGTCTGCCTGGCTAGCTGGGCGGTCGACCACAAACTGACTGGCGAGTGGCGAGTAGGCAGATACATGTATGCCTGTACATCTGTTGACGTCATCAAACAAAACAAATCCACAATACAGGGAACGAAACCATGGAAACTGTTGGTTGCTCCCTAGTCAGATCCCTACGGACCCAAGCCTGAAGATCGTGCTATCCACTGAGTCTGTCAGTGTCAGTGAACTGTCACCTGGTCACTGACTTGGCTTGACACTCGACGCCAGTTGACGGCTTGACGACTGCCATCCAAGGCACACGCCATACCCATAGTAGGAGGTAACGAGCGGGTTCTGGGCCAGGGGGCGCCCGGGTCCCAAAAAATGGGGTATTATTGAAAAATGGGGTACTAATAGTACCCCATTTTTGCGGTGAAAATTATTTTTGGCCCGGTTTTTTTTGCGGATAAAAATATGTGCCAGGGGGTGCCCCTACCTCAAAAAAAAAGGGGGTATTATTGAAAATATGTATTGGGGTGTTATGCTCTACCCTAAACAATAAGGTAATATGGTGTCATGATTATGTAAGTATAAAAGGTGTGTTCTTGAATGATGATCCAGTCAGTTTCAAGTTGTTGTGGTGCAGTGAAAATGGATTCTGAATTTGAGATCCTGTATGCTTATGTTCGTTCAAAGAAGCAATGTGCGCTGGAGGAAAAGAAGAAGAAGAAGAAGAAGGAGATAGAGGAAAGTGAAGAAGTGTGTTATCATCGTGAAGAACAAGTTGAGCATGCTGGTCATAGAGTTTGTTCTCAGTGTGGATTGGTAATGGCGGACATTTACATGCCCGAGGTAAAGTGGAGAGAGCGTTGTACTAGCATAAAGACCTACACGGATTCCGATCGCATTCAAGGTGTGAATCGTCATCTTGTACATTTTCTCAACAAGATCGACTTCACTTTACCGCATGCACAGTTTCACCCTGTTCAAGAGGCACTGCAAGCAATGAAGAAGTCCAGCAGCTATAAAAGCATGAACTATGCAATAGCATTATCGTGTATACTTCATGAGGATCAAGATGCAGTGCGCACACTGCGTTCTTCTTTACCGCGCAGTAATGTATCATGGTTGAGAAGTAGCCGCATTACACAACCTCTTCCATCATGTTTTCCACTGATGTTTCTTCTACATCTCATGGAACACATCAAGGGTCCTCTGTCCGCTAGACAGCTGAACACTCTGAAAGTTAATTTGTCCTTGATGTCACCTGCAGACCTGTCCATGATGCATCTTCTAATAGATGCCTATTGTTGGCATGACTACAGTCTGGATTATTTAGTAGATCACGTGACCTCTCTACCACCTGATCTTGCCAACATACTCTATCAATTTACCAAGACTGCAGTACGTCATCAACGTTAGCAATGCGTTGGAGATTTACACTCTCGGGAACCTGTTCTGAGACATGGTCGAGACACGTTCAGTCATGACCGAGACATGTTCCGACAGGTCAAGTGCAAGTCGTGCTGTGATTGGTTAAATCTTATCATCTGCTCACCGTGTCCTCTGATTGGTTGATTCTTGAACAATTTCACCGTGTTCTCCAAGGTCGTCACCTCCCATAGGATGTTATTTCAAACTCGGCGGCGGTCAAAAGGGTATATATGTGCAAGCACAGTCCTCCATTCACTCACAACTGCCTTTGTTGTTTCGTTGCTCAAGCCTTCTCTCTCTCTCTCTCTCCCTCTGGATCTCTCTGGATCTCTCGTGAGTGATATCATGATGGCCACTGATGCTGTTGTTGCTGGTGAAGATGTTGTGGACTGTTTGGGTATTGACCCGTTCGCTATCAAGACGATAAAGAAACCCGGTCTCTACAAGCGACGTGCTAGCCGTAATCCGAATCTGGAGCCTCTGCCTAAGATCAAGATGCCATCTCCTCGTCCTACCATACTACCAGGTGTCGCCACCATTATTACGGATGGGGCAGCAGAGTGTGTTCAAGCAATGTACAGCAAGACCGCCCACGACTATCATGTTGCTCCTGGCACCGATTTCTACTATACGCGCGGTGATTTACCGGGCATGCTTGTCAATGGCACGGTATGTGAAGGACGCTTTGGTCAACTTAAGCTGTACGTCCAGGCTTCACAAGACGATCTCATTCAATTCTTCCTGAAGACCTCAACACCTTTGAGACGTGCCGTGAGATCTCCACATATCAACAGGATACGGAGTAACATCTTCCCTGCAATGTACCAAGGGAAGAGTGTGACTGCTTTGTATCTCAAGCCAACCAAGGGTGTGCCCAACTTCCCGATGAACGAAGAGTGTCAGCTCTATCTGCATCCTTCCACTATATCTTTCAACAGGGAGAAGTGCGAATTCAAGGCATGGCTTTCGGCAATCCCCCTGATGTTTGTAGACTCACGGCTTTGTGAAAGGGATCACGACACCGTGCAAGACCTTCCCGAGGCTGAATTGACTCGACTGGTGATTGCATTCCTCAAGAAGTGGAGCACTGCTGACAACGTGACTGCTGACATTGCGTTTGACACAACGGTGGCGGCGGCAGCGTCTCTCCCTGACACCCTACCGGACAATTCACTGGACTTGAATCTGCTAAATGCTTAGTCTATCTTACCACATTGATTGATCAGAAAGACTTTATATCCTAACCCTTTTTTTTTTTTTTTTTTTTTTTTTTTTTCATGCTCTCTCACTCTCTCTCTCTCTCTCTCTCTCTCTCTCTTGCTAACATATCATCGCTTCATTAGATTACCACTAGCACACATGAGTATCATAATGATTTATTTGAGAAAGAAAATATTTCCTATCATAATTAGAACAGTGTGTGTGTGTGTGTGTGTGTGTGTGTGTGTGTGTGTGTGAAGATGGCGTACTGGGCTACGCATTTCCATAGGAGTGATGGGGAGGAGACTTCCCTCAAGCACATGCAAAGCATGCGGAATGATATTACCGAAATACAATCAGTTGTGGGGAACGATGACACCGAAAACACCTTGGTTCATGATGTGGAGAAACTGAAAGAGGTGAAAGCCGATGAGAGCAAAGTGGAAGATGTGGAAAACAGATCTACGCGCTACACAGATCAAGCCATAGCAGCTGATGAGCTGCACGTGAAAACAGATGGATCCGTGTCCATGGATGCTAACCTCAACATGAACGAGCATTCCATCTGTAATTTGGCGTACGATGATAGTTCTTTGACATGTGCTGTCCCTGCCGGTTGGGTCAAGAATGAAATCCAACAAGCATCATCGAGATTGCAAACTGGTATGGACACTGTGCGCAAGATGAAAGGACCTCGTGGTGATCGGGGATTGGGATGGCTTAGCGGAGGTGGCATGCCACTGAACTCTGTAGGGAGAAATGGTGACTTCTATCTCGATGCAACCACGCTCATCGTGTACAAGAAATTCAGCTCGAAATGGAAGGCGTTTGGTCGGTTTCATGGATCAAGAGGTGAAGCTGGTCCACGTGGAGAACGTGGATTGATCGGTCCTGAAGGTGAGACTGGACCTAGAGGAGCTGATGGGCAAGGTGGTGAACGCGGTCAAAAAGGTGATCAAGGAATACCTGGTCCAGAAGGTCCCAGAGGTGAAGTTGGACCACGTGGAGAACGTGGATTGGTCGGGCCTGAAGGTGAGATTGGACCTAGAGGAGAAGATGGGCAAGACGGCCGACAAGGTGAAATTGGTATGCAAGGTGATCAAGGAACCACAGGTCCCATGGGTCCCCAAGGAACCATCGGTCCAACCGGTCCTCCAGGAAACAGAGGTCCCGTGGGTCTCCAAGGAATCATCGGCCCCATAGGTCCTCCAGGAACCAGAGGCCCCATGGGTCCGCAATCAAATCAGAACCTATCCGATCCGTTTCATCTACTACCTCTCATTCGGAGAAACGCCTACCTCTACATATACTCTCATCCTAGCAGATTTGAATCCGTCACCAGGGTGAGCAGAAACAGATACAGAGGGATAAATCTCGTTGACATGAAGGACAAGAGAATCAACGTGAACAGCATCGACATGTTCCGAGACGATCACTTCTACCTCAACATTACACAACCCAGCGAAGTTTCCATTAGAGAACGATTCGTCAATCTGTTTCACGACAACATGTCTTTTGCAATGTTCCAAGTAATTCAAGTGGACGCACCTGACCCTAGAAACATGGCATTGAAGGCATTCGATATCGATACTGTCGGAAATTTCAGCTTGGATAGTTTGTACGTGTTGTTCACTGCCACCCACATAAGCGGCAACTACTTCACGCGTCCCGGCCATTCATCATTCAACATACCCGTTTCGTCTGTAGTCAGCCAATTATCGGCGGCTTTGGATAAACCTGTGTCGAGTATGACGGATCTCTTGGGTACAAAGTGTGTCATAAGTTACGCTCGGAATTCAGAAGGCCTATTCACTCTATACGTAAACTCCATTTTGATACATTCCAACTTAGACACTGTCCCATTTTCCAGGACCAATGGAATCGAAGATTGCAATTATAGCATTGGTGGTACTCAATTCTTCAACGGCACTTCATCAAAGTTGTTCTGTCATTTGCACTTTGCAGAGAGTTTATCTTCTCACACAGTCCAGCGCATCCACACAGAACTCATGGCACACTACGATATATGAAAGTGCTACTTTGATTG